CTCAAAGAATGACATCAATGGGAGGTCTAGATTCAGATGATGTAGCCACTTGCTCTTCTTCAGATGATCCACCAGACAACATATCCTTCACTTCTGATACAATAAGCTTAGTGAGCAACAATCCAGAGATAAAAGCTGCAGTCATCAGCATGTAAAACACTGCATCCCAGCTAATCGCAGAGACGTAACCAGTAAGCACTGGTCCTAACGCTGCACCAACAGATCCTGTGCCATCTATAATAGCCGAGACTGTAGCCAAAGCTCTAGCATTTCCTTTGAGAGATTTGTGTGTACCGAGATCAGCTGAAACTGCTGTTGTGATGAGAGCAAACGGTCCGTTTACAAATATTCCTGATGTGAACATGAGGATCACATTGATCGTCATCGAGATATGTCCGAAGACTCTGTAGAGGAACAGAGCTGGGATCGCCATGTAGATGAATCCTGCTGCTGTGATGGCTCTACCGTTGAGTTGATCGGAGACGTACCCTGCTAAGATTCCGCCAACAACACCTCCTACGTCGAAGAGTGTCGACAAGTTTCCTGATGTCTCTTCAGACAGGTACTCTCCTCCAATCACTGCATCAAAGTAATTTGCGTATCAAGGCAAGAACCAGAGGTAACAACAGCTACCAAACCGAAAACTAGCCGATTCCACATTTTATGTTTACCAAATTGGAATCAAAACATTCATCAAAGGTGGAATTAGGCTAATACTACATGTTCTCATGGATTCATTTGGGTTCAGTTTCTCTAAAACCAATAAGATGCAATTGTTTTAAATGCTGAATAAAACTTACTGTTGTGGCTGACGTAGAAAGGAAGCCAGTAGAGGAAAGTGTATGAGACCAACTTGGTGAAGAAGAGGCAGAAGGCGAAAGGAGCAACACCGGGAATTTTCCAAGCGGCCATGAACCCGATGGCTTTTCTATCATCGAATCCAGTACTCATCCTAGAGGTCAAGAAGCTCTCTGTAATGGTGTCACCGAGCCTCATCGTTGAGTCAACTTCGGTCCCATCTCTCTCTGCCCCAACGGTCGGAGGGTTCACCGGCAAGAAAAGGTAAACAACGATTCCGAGAAAAGTCATGAGCCAAGCCGGACCAAGAAATGACCAACCCCATCCATATTTAAGAAGCCCGGACGCGAGCAGAGACCCTGCGATGTTACCGAGCGATGTGTGAGCGCTCCAAATACCCATAATCATCCCTCTCCTCTTCTTGTCAAACCAATTCCCAAGAACGGCCACAACACAAGGCCAACCTATCGACTGAAACCAACCCGCCATAACCTGAACGGCCAAGAAATAGTAGAACCTGTGGAAATCAGCCCAGAAGGCAACCCCAAAGAGAGCAGTGAAAAGGCCGGTCCCGATCATACCAATGGTAAGAAACGTCCTGAGATCCAAACGATCGCCCAAGTGACCTGCCACAAACATCCCAACTGCGTAGACAGAGAGGAAAGCCAAGTCGATCTGTCCGAGCAACGCTGTTCCATCGGGTCCATCAAAGGGAGCCCAACCGCCTTTGACAGTTGACGCGGATAGCGTTCCCTTGACAATGCTATTGGGCTTTCGTGCGGCATGGAAGGCGATATAGGCGACAAATGTCAAGATAAAGACAAGGGCTTGGTACTGCTTGAAGGAGAGTCTTCCTGAACGTTTAAACCGTTCAAGGAACTGAATTCCACATGGCTTGGTTTCTTCATACAGGAATTGGGATGAAGTCCACGACGCCATCTCTTTGGCAACTCCTCACGGAGCCAAAAAAACCTAAAAGAAGATCAAGGATTTGAGATTGTATAATACTTGTAAAGCAAGGAAACCTCGATATCTTACAAATGAACAGAACAAAATTATACAGAAAATTCAAGAGAATGAAGCAAGAATTTGGATCACCTTTGACAATTTGAAATTTGGAGAGAGGAGAAAATTATCTCTGTCGTTCTATGCAACTTCAATGGTTGGGGAAAGCTGGGAGGGGAAAAGCACTACTACTTAAAGAAGGCCAAACTAGCTTCTCTTAGTTAACTCATTTTGCCCCTTTGCTGTATTTTTTTTTTTTTTGTTGGACCAAGCCTTTTGCTTCACTGGCTTCCAAATTTCTAAGATTAAATTCCACAATATGTACGCAAACCGGTACTAACCAGACGATCAAATCGGAAAAAAAAAAAAAACAAAGCTAAATTATTATCTTAAATAATTCCACACTGTATTGAATGGTAAGTATAAGGAGTAAGTCGGCGTCGGGTCTGTCATTTGTGCCCGCACGTAAGAACATCAAGCCTCGACTCTAATTAATTTGTTCATCCAACAATTCAACTCTAGTTAATTGTTTAATTTATGTACAAAAGAACTATAAATAAATAGTGACAACATTCTTTGGTGAACGAGACTTCATTTTGGTGTCCATATTCATTTTCTCTAATTCATAGGAAGATGGGAGAAGATGTCTACCAGTAAATGGATTTAAATATAACGCATGTTATTCATAAATATTAAGCGTTTCTGTTGGAAATAATTAATTCACCAGTTTGACTTGTTATAAAAGTCAACTATGACTTAGGTCCAAAAGGACAGATGTCCGAATGGCATAAGTCCGAATGACGTATCTTCGAATTCTACAGAATATGCGACGTCCGGATCCCACGGAATGGACGAGATGCGAATCCTACGGGATATAGGGCTTTCAACTAAGAAAAAGTCCAAATCTCTAAGAGATAGGTTCGAACCGACATACCAATCTAATCCTAAACAACTAGGGTTAGAAAGATCTATATAAAAGGGAGAGCTTCGGAAAAAGAGAGGGGAGAGCGAAACACAGCAAAAAACCCTAACTAACATATCCTCGGCGCTTCTACGAACAAGCTCCGAAGTTCTTCCTTGAATAGCCATCTTACGCTTTCAATTTATTGTAGCTTCGAGTTTGTTGTTCTAAGATCATTCATCAATAAAGAAAGATTATCTCACATCGTTCCGTAAACAATTTATTTATTCGAACGTGTTAAATTTACCCGAAACAATTTCAGATCCTTCAGACGAGGTCAAAAATCTCATCATTAATGATTCGCAAAGTTGCTATCTCCATAAAAAAAACTATAAAAAATATGTAATTTGTGATGTTATGGACATGGATGTTTGTCATGTTTTATTTGGTAGACTTTGGTGGTATTCTAATAATATCACATATCCAGGACTAGATAATGTGATGATGTTTATTTGGGGCAAACATAAAATTTATAGGACTCCTGTTTTGGATTTTGATAAAAGCATGGGAAAAAATTCAATTTTTTTGTTATAACGCAGAGCGAAAATGAGCTTTGTGAAGCTTTTAAAGATCTAAATGTTTCTACCCTCTAGTAATTAAATGGTTGATGACTATCATTAAGGAGAAAACAACAACTCTAGAAGAACTGTTACAG